AAGTCAACAACGTATAGATTTTCTCACACAATGCAACACCACTATGAGGAGGCATAAAACTGAAATTCAAAATTCTTTTTTGCAATTTCCAATTAGCATCAACAAAATGAGCAGTAAGAGAAAGATAACCATCTGTGGTTATAGAAGTCCACAAATCAGATGTCAAACAAACTCTTCCAGGGATTGAACCCAAAAGTTCCTTAAGCTTACCCTTTTCTCTATTGTACATACTCAACACATCAGCCTTTGCAGTATTTCGAGATATCAATTTAATATCAGCACAAATGTAATTAAACACTTCCCTAATTCCAACATACTCAACAAATTGAAAGGGCAGATCATGCATGATAATTGCCATCACCAGTAATTCACGAAATTTATTAGGATCAAACTTGGCAGACCTTGTCATGATAGCCCCTTCAGATTTAGATATTAATAACTGGCCCAAATCGCGAGTATCAGATTTCAAACAAGAATCAAGATGACGCTTCAAATTTCCAGTACCATATTTACTATCACAGAGGTATTTATGACCACATTTCATGCACTTTGCATAAACCTTATTATTTGGATCGATAGGAAGAATTTCAAACTTAGTCCATACATGTGATGTGAGTTTACGTCTCTTACCAAACTGATTTATTTCGCTGGTACTGTTATTGTTAGCTGGATTTGATTCTTGCACATCACTTGTAGCTGCTCCACCGTTAACACTGTCACCCCCATCTTCTAAAACATTCATCTGTATAAAACATAATAAGTTTATGTTAATTAAAAAAAAACATGAGCAGATGGAGGCAATGGAACCAAGGACCAAGTACCTTGCTTAAGGAGGGCATTAAACTCGAGATCATAATCAACCAAAGCAATAGGCTCAAGATCAGAATCAACCAAAGCAATATATGGATAAGGAATAGGATAGCGAACCGATAAATTGGAGCGAAATTTGGGTTTGAGCAGTCGGTGTTGGAGCCAGAGCAAGCGCTGATGGCTATGGTTGAACGGGAAGAGGCTGGGGGGCGATGGCGGGTGCAGATGCCAGATCAGGAGCGGGTTATGGATGCTGGACTGGTGCTATCGCACCCAAAACAGGTGCTGATGTCGGGGCTGGTGGTGGTGCCAGCCAGAGCAGGCGCTAAATGGGGAGGCGATGGGTTAAGATGGCAACATGAGCTGGAGATTCCGTATGGGCTTGAGAGATGTAGATGGAGGGAGAGACGGCTGTGAGTTTTTTGGTTTTGGAATGTGATAGTCTGATAGAGAGAAATTTTACATTATATATGTGGGTTGACCTAGGGTTTTAATCGGGTTGCTGTTAGGGGTGGCAATTTCCGACTCGACCCGTTACACGACCCAAAACCAAAAAACTCACAGCCGTCTCTCCCTCCATCTACATCTCTCAAGCCCATACGGAATCTCCAGCTCATGTTGCCATCTTAACCCATCGCCTCCCCATTTAGCGCCTGCTCTGGCTGGCACCACCACCAGCCCCGACATCAGCACCTGTTTTGGGTGCGATAGCACCAGTCCAGCATCCATAACCCGCTCCTGATCTGGCATCTGCACCCGTCATCGCCCCCCAGCCTCTTCCCGTTCAACCATAGCCATCAGCGCTTGCTCTGGCTCCAACACCGGCTGCTCAAACCCAAATTTCGCTCCAATTTATCGGTTCGCTATCCTATTCCTTATCCATATATTGCTTTGGTTGATTCTGATCTTGAGCCTATTGCTTTGGTTGATTATGATCTCGAGTTTAATGCCCTCCTTAAGCAAGGTACTTGGTCCTTGGTTCCATTGCCTCCATCTGCTCATGTTTTTTTTTAATTAACATAAACTTATTATGTTTTATACAGATGAATGTTTTAGAAGATGGGGGTGACAGTGTTAACGGTGGAGCAGCTACAAGTGATGTGCAAGAATCAAATCCAGCTAACAATAACAGTACCAGCGAAATAAATCAGTTTGGTAAGAGACGTAAACTCACATCACATGTATGGACTAAGTTTGAAATTCTTCCTATCGATCCAAATAATAAGGTTTATGCAAAGTGCATGAAATGTGGTCATAAATACCTCTGTGATAGTAAATATGGTACTGGAAATTTGAAGCGTCATCTTGATTCTTGTTTGAAATCTGATACTCGCGATTTGGGCCAGTTATTAATATCTAAATCTGAAGGGGCTATCATGACAAGGTCTGCCAAGTTTGATCCTAATAAATTTCGTGAATTACTGGTGATGGCAATTATCATGCATGATCTGCCCTTTCAATTTGTTGAGTATGTTGGAATTAGGGAAGTGTTTAATTACATTTGTGCTGATATTAAATTGATATCTCGAAATACTGCAAAGGCTGATGTGTTGAGTATGTACAATAGAGAAAAGGGTAAGCTTAAGGAACTTTTGGGTTCAATCCCTGGAAGAGTTTGTTTGACATCTGATTTGTGGACTTCTATAACCATCTTACTGCTCATTTTATTGATGCTAATTGGAAATTGCAAAAAAGAATTTTGAATTTCAGTTTTATGCCTCCTCATAGTGGGTGTTGCATTGTGTGAGAAAATCTATACGTTGTTGACTTCTTGGGGGGTGGAAAAGAAACTTTTTTCTATGACTTTGGACAATTGCTGTAATATTGGATCCTAGATATAAAATGCAGTTTGTGGAATTTTGTTATAAAAGGTTGTATGGTTCAAATTCCCAAGAAATGGCCAAAGTTCGTGATATGTTGTATACACTCTTTGATTTATACATGCAAACACATTCTACGTCTGAATCAGTTGCTGGTACATCAAGTAGCTCAAATGGTGTTCATTCTCATATTGATGACATGATTTCTAAGGAATGCATGGATGTTATGAAGGTAAAAAGCTATTTATTTTGTTCATAATACATAAAATTTCAGTTTACATTTCACTATGGGCTGATATTAATAATGTTGCTATATTGTTAGGAATTTGATACCTTTGAAAGTGAGGAGTTTACCATTTCTTCTCAAAAGTCACAGTTGGAATTGTATTTGGATGAGCCTAAAGTAGACAGGAAGATAAATTTGAATGTTCTTGATTTTTGGAAAGCAAACCAATTCCGATATCCTGAACTATCTATTTTGGCTCGTGATGTACTATCTATTCCAATATCTACAGTCGCATCCGAGGCATCATTTAGTGTTGGTGGTAGAGTGCTTGATCAGTATCGTAGTGCTCTCAAACCTAAAAATGTTGAGGCACTAATTTGTACACGAGATTGGATATTTGGTGACCAAGGTATATTTCCCATAATCTTATTCATTGTATTTGTTTCTTTTTATCATCATCTAAAGTCTTATGGTTTGAATTGCAGAAAATTCCACTTTAGCACCCAACTTGGAAGAACTGACTGAGGATATTAGTCGGATGGACATAAATCCCTCCCAATCTGCCGAGTGCTCTAATACCATCATTAACAATAGTGGCTGAATATTTGAGTTGGGAATGTGATGTTGTATTTTATGTTGTAATTTAATCAAGGTTTTTTTGTTTATGTTTGATTTGGATTTTAGAGTGACTTTGAAGTTTTTAATTTTATTGTCATTTTGGAATGTTTGATTTGGCATAATATTTGAGATGGTTGTTAGAATTTAAATTTGAAGCAAGCAGGTTATTAAACAGGTCATTAAACAGGTAGGTTACATGTTTATGACCTAACCCAAGCAAGTTAGTAAACAAGTTATTAAACAGGTAGGTTACCTGTTTATGACCTAACCCAACCTGTTTAGTAAACGGGTTACAAATGGGTCGTGTCGTGTCAACCCGTTTATAAACAGGTTGGGTTTGGGTTTACATTTCCTGACACGATTAATAAATGGGTCGTGTTTGGGTTGGGATTTCCTGACACGTTTAAAAGTTTGACACGACACGACCCATTGCCAGCCCTAGGTGTACCCTGCGAAGAAACTCCAGTCACAAGACCACAAATCATCGAGTTGCACCGTTGAAAATGCTAATATAATAGAAAAGAACTGTCTTTTCTGTATACTTTCCTTTGTTCAATCTGCTTAACGGTCCAAGCATAAAAAACTTGGGGAAGGTTGATGCCTCACCCTCCACTTTTCCACTCCTACCAAACAAGGGATTACCTAATTTTCCTACCCTTATACCCTCCACCCTTTTCTGGGAAAGGCTAGGTAAACTATTCCATAGATCATACATTATAATAGTTATAGTTTAGGTATCTATCTTATTCGGATTTTCCTCATTTATGGGTATGTTTGTAATTTACCTGAAAATCCTTCCATTTGACATTTATTCCATCCCTAGTCTTTAGACTACCATTTAAACATTGATGTTTGAAGTCTAAATCCCAAAGTCCCGCTCCCTTGCTCATAGGCAACCCAAAGTCCATGGCTGCTTTAATCATCCAATACTGAATGAACTATGTTTCAAGGTGAGTGGTGTACCTATAGCAATCAGCATTAAAGGTAACAAGATTATATTTATACCCCATGGGTTAAAGTTTTGAGCTCCACCATTCATTAACTGTTTATTAAGAAAGACCGCTACTATACAATCCTCAATGTATTATGAGCCCAGAGGCTGCATATATGCGAGCAACAATTAGGGGTTTCGAAGGTATATATGGAAAATGCAGAATGCGCAAAAAATTTATTGATCATCTAAGTTTTATCTCACCAGGTTTTGGGTCACATTCTTCCTTATGCTCTAGCACATCAGCTGTCCCTTCAGCAAGATTTAACTGCTTCCCGAAATACTCAAATTCTTCAAGAAGTTCAGTTGCCTTCAGCAAGATTTAACTGCTTCCCGAAATACTCAAATTCTTCAAGAAGTTCGGTTGACACATCCCTAACAGAGCCTGATTCTGGACTTGAATCCTCACTGCCTTTCTGGAATTCTAGTTCCCGGACTTCCAATCTTGTCTCAACGTTTAACACCGCACCACCATAATATCCAATGTCAACTTCCAAAGCCCATACATCATTCATGTCCATCGGCAGAACTTTCATACCATGGATATAAGGTGGGAGATTCCCAGTATTAATGTCTGTACAAATCACTTCACCAATGTAACTTGGGGTCCTCATATTGGACAATGTCCTCTGTCATAGGCAAAATCACATAAACAAATAAAATTTACATCTGCATTGACAAACAAATAATAAAAGAGAAATGCGCAATTCCACAAAAGAATGGCCAGAATTTGCACATATACAATTATAATATCCACATCCACTCCAAGCCTTTTTTTATAAAAAAAAAATTACAAATCCTCAAATCATTGCATCATAATTCAGGATGTCCAAATGAGGCCCGGTTACATGAAATGAACACAATAATTGCAGGTCCCTTACAAAATAAATAAGTCCATGTAACCTAAATGTGTGTGCCTGAAATATTGTGTGTATGAATTTACATATGTTTTTCATGATGTGTATCTGCCTCAATGCAAATATGAGAAGGTGCATTCATGTACACTAGCAGAATAATAAAATCTTATTGGAATATGGTAAACCTGAATCTGAGCTTTTATGGTTTTTTTCATCTCCACACTGCTTTTGGCATCAAAGAAGAGCCGTGAAATTAACAAATTCCAACAAAGTGTTGCCTCATCAGTACTAAACTTTTCATCAGAGTCTGCATCAGAGATGACAGATATATGACTCTGGCTATCAGAATGAGTTAAGGTTGATGAAGGCAGAATTGCCAAATTCCCTTCTGTGAAACTCTTAGCCCTCTTCACTGGTGGACTAGCATCTACCAAGCTACTGAGAGAAATAGAATCCTGACATGTACGATTCTTCTCACTTATCTTTCTTTCTTCACGGCCTAAGGATGAAGTCCAGCTCAACTTATTATCTGGACCAACCTTAGCATACTTCTTTGTGATTTTTTTCAAGAACATACGAACCTTTGAGGAAGAACCATCAATCCTATTTTCCCTATCTACGGGTTCAGCAGAAGAGAACCCTCCGGAGTGTTTCATGAGTGAAGGATATCCTGCATTTAACAATGTCAAGTAACAGCGAAATTCTTCATGCAACTTCGCAAACCAATCAAGTTTCTCTTTGTCATTGCTAGATGCCAGACGAAGAGCTTTACACCATGATTCCTTCTCCCATGAAGTTTCAAGATAAATGTAAAAGACTTTACTTCCTTTGTATATTATGGTGGACTTGCTATCCAATTTTATGGGGAACCTTTTGGCCCTAAGAACAGAAAGAAATTTTAAGTTCGTTAACCCCTATTCAAGAATGTAGTGAAATACAGTAAATGGCTAAGAACTCAGACAATTTTAATTTTAATTTTCAAAATAAAAAGAGGAATTATGGCACTTTATATATTTACAAAATAAATATTGGAACTTTATACTGTCAGAAAATTTTTGGCACTGCACTTTGTAATGGGAAAATTTGGGCAAAATAGTAAAATATTTTCTTAAAATGATAATTAAAGTGAAGACCATCCCCATTTGATTAAATTTAAAAAGAGAAAAAGAAAAATGATAACCTCGTGTTTTATCTTTTTATATGTCCATACCCTTCTTCTACTTCAGACTGATTAGAGGTAAGACAAAAATGTATAGCAAGGATATAAAGCACGACTGTCCTTTACTAGAACATCTGGATTAAGAAAGAAACCTGTCACCTAAATCTAAGATGCAGAATGGTTAGAAGCTGAAAAGCCCTTGACCCTATCCTCTTCCACAAAATACCCTACCCAATTCTAAAACACACCAGGAATGTTATCAAAAAGATGTGTGGCAAAGGCCAGTTACCATTTTCTTGAAGGTAGACTTGTTGAGGAAACAGCTTCAATGGTGCAGCCCTTTAACTGGATAGCTGTCTGGGAGCCATCTGATTCTGTCAGAATGAGTAGTTGGTTCTGGATTTTTGCATATTTTTTTATAGGAGAAACCTCAAAGAATTCCTTCTTTCTCTTTTGCTTTAGCAGTATTTTTTCTTGCCAATTTTTGGGAACTTTTTCTGGTTCTAGAACCCAAACTGCTCCATAAGACACAACAAATAAACTATACAATGAGAGGGAAAGCTTAAAAGACAAAACAATGTATAGCCATGAATAATGTATAAGTAACATAAGCCTAAATGAACAATGAAACAGCTGAAGATTGATTAGCTCCTCAAAAGAGGGAAGTGGGGAGCAAAAGTTGGATAAACATATTCATTTTCTGAAATGGATACATATTTCAATTAATCAACAAGTCCCAATATTCAATGCCAAATGCGCAATAGTACAAATAAAAGGTAATTCGGTTTTATGCAGTAATAAGACTAAATTTTGGATCAAAATATATATCTAAGCTGTCTGTCCTTTCAGTCAACCACATGGAAATGTGTAACTCAGACGATAAATATAAGTGCTGATGATATGTGTCAACCGCAAAGCTTTACTTTATTTAACCAGTCTTCATCATAACATCCACATACCAAAAACCAGATGACCATTTTAGGCTTCTGCAACTACATTCTCAGTCTCTATTTTCTCCTCCTTCAGTTCCTTAACAGCTTTTATAAGACCCCGTGTAATCCCATTAAGATGCAAGCCATTATCCTTCATTTCTTCAAGTAGTTTTTCTGCTGTTTCCCAATCCAAGGCCTTGAGGCAGACAGATTGGATCAACTTATTGTACTCATCAACATTAGGTTGGACCCCAGAATCTTTCATCTCGCGCAACAACTTTAAACCCTTATCAAACTCTTCCAGTTTGCAATACCCACGAATGAGTGTATGGTAAGTCACAGGACTCAATTTGGGGTGCTTGTTTTTGGCTTCGGATAATATTTTACAAGCCTCCTCCATCTGACCTCCATTTGTATAACCACTCATGATAACAGTGTAAGTATACACATCTGGTTTCAACCCCCTACTCTTCATTAGATTCATCATATTAATTGCCTCTCCCATATCCCCAGCCTTACAATAGCCATTGATTACCATATTGAAAACTGCATTTCCTGGAGGTGGGCCCTTCATTGTCATCTCAAGAAGCAATTTTTTGGCCCCATCGACATCCTTTATCCTACACAAACCTTGAACAACAGCTGAAAAGGGCTTAATCGCATATTTCCGTGCTTCACCAGCAAAATCATCTAACATATCTAGAGCTAATTTAACGGTTTCATCCTCCCTACAGAGTGAACTGATCAAAAGATAAACTGAAGCGGGAGGCAGGTACTGCGGCTTCACATTCGCAGCCGAGGAATAAACCAAATGGGCATCTTTAGCTTTTTTACCCTTGCAAAACCAGGATATGATTCTACCAACTTTCTCACCATCAGGCAAGATTCCCGCATCAAGCATCTTCTCACAAACAGACTCAGCCCAACCAAAAATTGAACGCCTGCAAAGTGCTTCAATTGTAAAGTAATATGTATCTGCATTTGGGACACATCCAAAATCACCAAACTTGTTGAACACCTCCAAAACAGCTTTCCCTTTACCCAATTTTGAGAATGAAGATATCAATTCATTGAGAATTTGCACATGCACCACAGTGTTCTCCTTCTCACCAACCTCCTTAACTAAATCCCACAAAGAATACACATCTCTCTTCCTAACGAGGCCACTACATGTCGCTCGAACAAGTGCATCCAGTATGTGCGTAGTGACACCAAACTCGGGTTTCTCCTTCAACGCCCACTTGAAAAACCTAATCAAATTCTCATCCAAAACAAGTGGGGTTTCAATTACTTTAATCACAAACTCTGGATGTAAAGTCAAATTTAAACCATCAAAACTAGACTCAAGACACCCATCAGCACTGCTCTGAAGAAGAGACAATAAACTCTCCAACTGCTCCAAATCAATCTCATAAACCTCTTCCACTTCCCCAAACTCTACATTAGAGTGGGAAAAAATGTTCATTTGAGTATCACCCTTTTCCTCTCCAACAAGCCCATTCCCCGGGGTAAGATTTTCCCTCTGTGTATCACCATTTTCACCAAAGTCCACAGATAGATGTTGTCCTTTCGCTGAATCAGAATCACTAGGGTTTTCTGAGAGCTGAGAAAGGAACCTACGGGTTTGGCAGAGGGAGGATCTGGTCGGAAAATGAGGAGATTGATCAACTAATGTTAGGGTTTTAGAGGAAAGCACCTGGTTTCGAGTTGCACACAACTTCTGCGCCGCCTGTGTCGAAAGAGAAGCTCTTGCTGTCACAGCAGACCTCCACATCTTTCTCTCGGCTATGGGAAGCTCTCAGTGTGGTATGTGTAACTCAAAGAGTGAGAGTGAAAGATCAAAAATCCTAATTTGGGGCGAAGTGCAGAAATGAAGGTGCGCTGGGCGATTGGGTTAGGCGGCAAAGATGGGGATTGGGTTGTTCCCACTGCTTGCGTCCCGAAAAAGAGAGGGAGCTTCGGCGGCGCGACGGCTGAAGAAGAACAAGGATGGCTCTGCGCGACGGCTGAAGAAGAACAAGGATGGCTGAAAGAGAGGTTCACGCAGAGGGAAAGATCACGCAGAGGGAAAGAGAGGTTCGGCAGAAAGAAACCTAAGTCGTGTTTTAGTTGTGGTGATCCTCTGTGTGTGTGCGTACGGTAATATTTTAGACAACCAATACAAAACAGCCACATGTTAAACTATATATATAATATAAAATATAAATATAATTATATATTAATTAATTGTATTGGACTGGTTCCTTATAGTGAAAAACCGGAACTGGAATCGGTCTGAACCGATTCGGTTTGGATTTGTCTCAGTTTTTTACTTTTTTGGTCAACACGGATTTTTTCTGTTTTTTTCGAATTGGTTTGATTTGATTTTGTGGTTTTGCAGTTTCAATGCCCACTCCACTCCTAGTTGTGGGACGTGGTTTCCAAAGGTGTCTTTGGGTTCTTTAACTTTTTAAATTAAAAAAAATATTTATTATAAATAGAAAAAGAATTTTAAATCCAACTGTAAAAAAAGCTATAATTTGTTTTTAAAAAATGACATATGGCATATTTTGAATAGAAGTACTATTAGCTGACGTGATAGTATAGTACCATTCTATAATTTCTCCCGGCCTTGGGCATTCTTTTAATATGGGGAAAAAAAATGCGTTGAAGAGCGAGCTGGGGAGGGTTTGGGCCAACAAGTTAACAAGTCATATTTTTTTAATATCAAATTGAATATTCCTAGCATTTGCCTCAGCCAACCCTAGCTCATGGTGCATAATGCTATTGTTGAACCAGTTGAGTTCGTTTCATAAATGTTTTACCAGATCTTTTGTGACCCCTTGAATCCTCAAAAGATCTGTTATGAGAATTTAAATTAGAGGGTTTAGGGTCCGAGGGTTCTAGGGTTCAAGGTCCCGGGGTCCCGGATCCGAGGTCGGAGGTCCGGGGTTCTGAGGTTCGGGGGCTCGGGGTTTTAGGGTTTAGGACTCAGGGGCTCAAGGGCTCAGGGGTTCAGGGTTTAGAACTCAGAGGAGCAACTATCTGTGCACCATCTTTTAACAGAGTCCACCTTCTATGCTTACAATATATTGACACATCCTTCTAACTCTTTAACTTTGATAGCTACTCATACTAGTAGATTTCTACATAATAACCGAGTTTGCTTCGTATTAAAACAGTAAAAAAAGGAAAGACAGACCATACAACATTTTAATTCTTCCCCTGGTTGTGTGTAGGTAGGAAGGCAACAGGGGAAGGGGACATTGCAAATGTTTTGAGGCCTATTCTATTCCTTCAAGAAGCACTCAGAGCCAATCGTTGTAATGTCATGAGTAGGACAATTTTCAACGTAAGCTACTTTGAAAAGGGAGATAGGATTTAGACCTGGAAAAATCCCACACGACACGAATTTGCACGAAAAATTCAGTATTCGGGTTGGAGTTATCGTGTCGTGTTGCTATCGTGTTGACCCGTTAGCCACCCGTTAAGCTAACGGGTCGTTTCGGTGTCCATTCGCGAATACACGAACCAACCCGTTAAGAGGGGGTAATTTTGTAATTTTCTATTTTTTTTAAAAAAAACCCTAGCATCTCTTTCTCTTCATTCATTCAGCCGCTTTCTTTTCTTTCTCTGCTCTGCAATTTTCTTTCTTTCTCTCTCAAGTTCTCATCTTCTCCTTCTTCTTGCGATCTCTCCTCTCTCTGTCTTTGAAGATCTTTTCTGCTGTTAAATCCTATCTTAAGGTATGAATGTTTTTCTTAATTGATTCGGTAAATTTATTTGACTTTCAGTATGGAAATTATATATTTATGTGGACTCTGGAAATTATATATTGATGTACTGGACGGGTTTGATTTTTCTTATTTTACTCTACTGTCAATTAGAGATATAGAGGCTTTGTTGCGTAGATACAGCTGCACCAAAATGGATTCAGTTGCATCCTCAACTTGTGATACTCGCAAGTGCACGAACCGTTGGTAGTTTAG